GGGGGGGAGGGAAAGGGAAATTAAGGAGGGAGTAGAGGAGGAGAGTAAAGGCAGAAGAAGGTAAAGAGTAGAGAGAAGAAAGGTAGAGTAGAAGACTGAGTGGGTGGTGACTACCGCTCGAGTGCTGTGGCGTAATGGGTAGCTAGCGAAGGAGGTTCTGTGTCACTGGGTCAAGAGTGGGACTTCTGCTCTTCATCTCTATGACATGTGGGGTGGGGCAAAAGTAGTAGTGTTCAGGGGGGAGATAAGATTGTTGGTGCAGATCAGCTCAAGGACACAGCATTTGTTGGCAGGATCAACAGGAATTTTCTGTATGTTGCTAAGAAATAAAAAGGCCAATTCAGCCACCACATCTAAGGACCAATAGGCTGCATTATATGACATTTCTGTTCTTGGATTTAGAGATCCTTGAATTATTATTTTCAGTTAGAACCAATGGACTGCTTGCTCAGCAGACAAAGTATGTTGAAGAATTTAGACCACAACAAAGAGCCATTGCAGTGCAGTCTGCTTTCTTGACTACGCGAGTCTGCAACGACACATCATGTTATTAGGTTCTTCTGAAAAAAGTTCAGGCGGTCACGAATCAGCCAACGTTGCCCAGACATGTTCTCATCTTACGATAGAGGTGGGCACATTGTGACTTTTCCTCTTTCTTCAGCCAAGTATTCACCACATAGTGTTCTTGGAGGTAAATAAGAAACCGCCAGGAACTTTTCCTGCGTTGGCAGCCTATTTGTTAGCGTTGGATGGTGATTGCATGGAACTGGGCAAGTGTGTACGCAATCTAAAGTAGAACAGGGCAAGGCTTGGTAGGCCTTGTGGGCCTTGAGTAGCTGAAAAGCCACAGTCTGTCTACTTCTGGTATAAAGACAGGGACAAATGTTCAGGCCTCCAATGCGTCCTGTTTTTTCAGGACGGTCTTAATTTTTTTCACTGGAAATCTTTCATTTTTATATATATATTTATTAATGTTAATGGAGACCACTGATGCAGTTAAGCTAAAGGGATTGCTCTTCAATGGTATTTGGTATCCATTTCCCCTTTGTGGAAGAATATGGACTTGTTATCTCTCCCAGTAGGTGCTTCACAACAGTGGAAGGAGCTGTGACTCTTCTGGGACATGTCAGGGCTAACGTGGGGCAGGGCCAGTCTGCGGTTTGCTTTGGGTCCGGCATATGATCTGAGAACCTCAGCAAAATGAATCTTATTTGGCAAAATGGAACTTTATAGTCTGTTTGGTTCCTGATGCGTCTATTAAGCAAATTGATGTTACTATCCCTTTTTTTAGAGCTAATTGAGGTCAAATCGTCCAAAAGCGATTCTTTTGGGCTTTTGGTATCACATCAGATTTCATTTTGGCAGGTTGGAAGTTCTGGCTGTACAATGGTTCCATCTATCATTGTATCAGGTCATTGTACAACTGCTCCTATTGTTTCCCCCAACAATTATCCACGTTTGCAAGGCCGATCCCTCCGCCCCGTTGTCCTTCTGCTAAGGCAGAATCTGACCCAAGAGACTTTGTGTGATGGTCCACTTGCGGGTCTGACAGAGGTCTCGAGATGTTTTGTGATGGCAGATCAAACCAGATCCACCTTATCCTGGCCACAGTATGATTTGGCAACCTTAGTAGAAACCAGAAATATGTTTAAAAAAACAATATTTTAATTTATCAAGAGAATGACCAGCTCTTGCTAACTCTTCCCCTTTCTCAGTAGTCTAGCAAATACTTTAGCTTTGCTAATGCTGTAGCTGCTCCATCAGGAGCAAGTATTCCGGTGGAACCCGCAGATGGCATGCATTTTGGAGAGTTGGCCATATATGAATTTAATAAGTTTTGTTGGGATATAGAGAGGCATTGGGACTCAAAGAGTTGTGGTCATGAGACAATTGCACCTCCCATCCTGCCTCATTGACATCCAAGTAGCTATGGACCTAAAATTGACAGCTTTGACAGCTAAAAAATCCTGTTACTATTCTTGCTCTTTAAACAGGGACAGTGCAAAGCTGAGATTGGGAATTGGCAAGTTATGGCAATTCTCAATTGGGCTAATTGAGGGATTTCTCTTCTTACTCTACACTCATTCCTGTTTACAAATTTGCAGACCATGGCCACCTAGTCCTCAGCAACTTGACATGTCCCACCTCTCCCCAGAGATGTCAAACATTTGCTTTGACTTTAGGCCACTATTGAGAATTATTTCAGCTCAGGACAACAGATAGCCGTCACGGAAAGCTAATAAAAGGCATTTTGGGTTATCGGGGGAAGGGGCACCTGTCTTTCACGCAATGAGGAAGGCTGAAAATAGTCTTGGGGTGGCCATGCATTTGGTCAACCCTTGCAAGCCACTGATTTGCGTAACTAATGTAAGAAAAGAACAGTGTGGGGCTCCCCTAGGTGGCAATAAGAAGTCCTCCTGAGCCATAGAAGCTCTCGGTATTGCACAAATTGCCAATTCCTCCCTCTTTCTAAGAAGAAAAGTCACCACTGTGTATTGCCGCCACCAGTTAGCTCTCAGTACTAGCATGGTGATGTTTTGGCATATGTCTCAGCTCCCCCTATCCTTAGATATCTGCGCCTCTACAATTAGCCTTGTTAACATTTCAGTAACTAGT